CCCCAAAACCCCAAAACCCCAAAACCCCAAAACCCCATGTACAAATTTATCTAGCTGTTTTGGGGAATATACAAATTCCTGCGCAGAATAATAATATGCTTAAAAAGAGCGGCAGTCCCACAGAATATAATAATAACTTTCAATTAATTATACTTAGAACAATAATTTTACTCGAATGAATACTTCACCTAGTCAAAACTAACAATAATAAGCAAAAATATCGTCTAGTATCTAAGGATTTAAGAATCTATCTAAGAACCAAGTGTAAATTGAACTTAGATAAGAATACTTACCCACAAGCTAAAAGGGAAAGCTAGAGATAGACGAATATATTTTAAATCATAAGCATTCAAATTCTGAAGGCCTTCCAGATATCGATCGAGACAACAGTAATCAATTGGTAAATCTGAGCAATAAAGAGAAGGAGCACTACACCTTTCTTAATAACCTTAAAACTAAATTCAATGTTGATTAGAGTAAATTAATCAATTTAGAGTGTCGCCTATCAGGTAAGAATTTTCGAATTTAATGAAAATTTAGGTCATGAAAAAGAAACCATCAGCCAGCATTTGGCTCTCAGTAGCAATTTAAAAAATAGCAGTTCGCGCGGTAATCTTAATGATTGCATTAATGATGAATCTTATTCGAGATTATCAATAAATTCCAACTCATAAAATCTTAATCAAACTACCACATCATTTAAATCCAAAAGAAAATCTACCTAACCATAGAAGCACAACTCAAAAATCGTTCACGCAATGGAAATTTAAAATTCTTCTCCGAAGTTACAACCTAAAAAGCCGACATCTCCAGTTGACATTACTCCCTTTGAGCCTTAAATACAAAAAAGAGTAAAATCTACACACTCAAATCTACATCAAAGTGATAGTCAATAGTAACTCATTACAACATTTATTCATGATGAGAACAATCAAAATCAGAGTAATATGATGTAAAGGCCTAGAGTAGAATAATATTAATAGGAAAAAGATAAGGCAATAAATAATTCACAAAATATAGATTAAACTTCTAAAATGATCCAACAAATTAAGGACGAAAATGATTAGCTTAAGAGAAATTTGGATAATTAAATGAAACTTTTCAGACAAAAGGAAGAAGAGCACAGTAAAAGCAACCAACTACTGAACACTTTCAACTAACAGATTAAAGAGATTACCAGTTTATATGAATAACAAGAAGCATAGAAGAAACTATATATTGAATCTCTAGTAAAAACTTTGACTTCTCTCGAAGATAAACTTAGAAAAGAAAAAAGAATTTGGTTGAATGAATAAGCAATAAGACTTGGAAGGCTAACTACCTAGAGATAAAGTACGAAATTTATTGAGGTATGGGAAGAAGGAGAAGCATTTAAAAAACTCCACATAAAACTAAGAGAAATCTAGCGTGAAAAGGAGGAAATAGAGAAACTTAAAAAGAATAGAAATAAGGTCAAGAGTGTTAAAAAATCTGCTTCAGTTTTACCTTCAGTTCCAACTGATGGATTTTCAAATATTTCTGGCTCATCTATGCAAAGAAATATGAGTAATAATGGACTTAATAGTATTGCATCCCTCAATGAGAACAGTGAATTTGATCTAGAGGAGTCTGAGTTTAACAATATTGATAAGAATGAACAAAAGGAGATTTATTAATTCAAGTAAAGATTACTAGAAAATGAAGAGAAAAGAGTCCGAGATGAACTCTAGATACTTGATAAGGAGAAGTGTCTTTACCTCAATGAATTCAAGAGAATGAGAGATGAGGAGTTCTCAAAGTACTGTGGCATCAATTCAAAAAGAAAATTTGAAGTGCTTCAAAAGAAATACTTGATTCTCAGCTTACTAGGCAAGGGTGGTTATTCAGAAGTATATAAAGCATATGACCTTGAATAATGCAGGGAAGTTGCCTGCAAGATACATCAATTTGATGATTCATGGAATGAAACAATAAAGGATAGTTACATTAAGCATGCTTTAAGAGAAAACGAAATTCATAAAGACCTAAATAACAGAAGAGTTGTTAAACAATTTGACACAGTAGAGATTGATCATAATAGTTTTTGTACTGTTCTTGAGCAGTGCACAGGTCCTGATCTCTATTTCTACCTTAAATAATAAAGATAAATTCCAGAAAAAGAAGCCAAACTAATCATCTCCTAGATATTAAGTGGTCTTAAGTATCTCAACGACTAGAAGCAAAAGATTATTCACTATGATCTAAAACCTTAGAATATTCTATTCCACAATGGAGAAGTTAAGATAACTGACTTTGGTCTATGCAAAATTATGGAGGAAAATTCTGATAGAATTGAATTGACTTCCTAAGGAGTTGGTACTTATTGGTATTAAGCTCCTGAATGCTTTGAAGTTTCTAACACACCTATGATCACATCTAAAGTAGATATTTGGAGCGTTGGTGTTATATTCTTTGAACTTCTTTACGGATAAAAGCCTTTTGGTCATGATAAATCATAATAAGCCATCCTATAGGATTAGACAATTCTTAAAGCTAAAGAAGTCATATTCCCTTCTAAGCCTTAAGTATCTGATGCATGCAAGGATTTCTTACGTAAATGTCTGAGTTATTACTAATATGATAGATATGATGTCTATGAGGCATACTATAGCCCCTATCTCAGAGGCAGCAACTAATAAATTCCTTCTTAATAATAGCCTGCTAACAATATGATTAAGCAATATTAAAAATGACTTTAATTATTTATTCTATCATTAATTTTTTTCATTCTCTCAGCATAATCTAATTATGATAATTTTGATGGTTTTGGGGTTTTGGGGTTTTGGGG